TTTTTTTTTTTTTTTTTTAATACCTTCCTTGTGGTCATAAGGGCTTGTGTTCCTGCTGCAAAACATTTGGTGGGATAAATAATCAACTGATTCAAGTTGCAAAAGTGAATGTAAAAACAAATACAAAACAAATACAGCTTTCTGCAAAAAGATCAAAAAAGTAACCCCGGTTAGTAAATCTGACCTTCTGCCTGGAACAAATTCCCTTCAAAAAAGGAATTTGAAGGAACAATAAGACTGGGTAGATTGGGAAGACAGTCTGGCTGCTGGTAAACAACTTTGATAAAACAGCTGTGATACAGGCCACTGAAATATTAATCAAGAACTGATTTTTTTTTTTTTTGTCTAAAGAGACTTAACTTGTTGGCCTACACAATCAGGCATCTACCAGGTGGAAGTCTGCCAGAGTTCCATAGTGGATTGAATGGCGCCTCAGCGTTAAATCCAAGTACTTCTGAATTTTTCAAAATTGGGTTATACAGTCCTTATATTTTCTAGTGGAAACTTAGTCCATCTGTCCTGATTTTTAACATTGTACAGTGTTGATGATCTTTTAGCAAAAAGCAGTTAAATCTCCTATTACTGTTTAAAGCTAGATTAATATTTCTGTATTCTGAACTATGCTAGTTTCAAGATTTGATATTCATGAGGGACACTTAAATATTGGTACTATTAATTTGCAACTTGTTGCGTTTAGTTGGCTTCATATTTTGCATTTACTGAAATCAAACTTTTCCCCACCAAGGTATGAAGAAGAAAAATTTAGAAAGAAACACAAAAGGTATCTGCACACTATAATCAGGGTTGCATCTAGACAAATCCATTTGCACTGCACAAACTAACTCCCAAATAGTTGGCTTGCAGAAATGAATAAGCATTTGTAAATATAAACACGCACTAATGGCTAAGCTTCTATATTTAACTAAACAATAGTATTTTTTATAATGTAACTTGTCCTGAAAATTTAAATGATATTTATTTTAGAGAAATTTCATGAAGGATGAATTAATTGACTTTGAGCTGCACCTGCAAAAAGCCACATATCAGCACCTGTTTTAACTAACTTTCACCATTAAAAGTTGGTAATTGTTTGAATGGTGATTTTTTCAAGATGCTAGTCTGCAGCTGTAGAAGTTACTTGTGAGAGCTTCTTAACCAGAAATTCTAATCTTGAATGTTGTATCTTGCTTTGTTCAGTATTTACTAATTTAAATTGTCAAGATATAGAATTCACTAATCTAAATTTTAATCTAAAGCCATTTATATTTTTCATAGTGCTGTTTGTATTTGCAGTGTCTAGGCTCCTTGCTAATACTGGATTTTTAAGTGTTTCTAGTTTAATTGACTGCTGATCATTCCAACATTTTTCTGGAGCTGACAAAATATTGAAAACAGATAAATTATAATTCAGTCTGTCTGTCATTAACCATCTTGCTGAAACATACTGCTTCTAATTTTAAACTTTATTCTCTTGCTGTGTGCATAACAGTTAATAATTTAGGGACACTTTACATACACTCTCATTGTAGGTAGAAAGATTGAAGACACATTAAAGAAATAAACCTGGAAGACCGTGATTTTGCCTTTGATTTTGCTCTAATGTAGTAAAATATAAGAAAATGGAAGGGTGAGGAATAGCCTGTAGGAATGATTCCAATTAAGCTGTACATCTGCAATGCTGTAGCTGAGATTTTAAACCTGCAGAAAAGTTATAGCTCCCACAGCAACTGACTTGCTTCACTCTCACCCCACCCCACCTCCACCGGCCTATTCCTGTTGCAAGGGAAAGAATCCATATAACCCTGAGATACAAATCTGTATCTTTGGAAGGGTCAACCTGGCTTTAGTTTTTGAAGTCTCCAAAACAATAAAGACTTAGTTTTAGTTTTCCTGTCGCTATTAATTTTTTTTTTTTAGCATAAAGAGAAAATTATATCAAGAGATGGGAACGAGTGGAAGTAATTTCAGTTAGCTTTGTCAAATACACAGAGTTAATTTGAAAGCTGATGTGCACAGAGTAAACTGAAACACACACACACCCACCCACCCAC